AATTTTTTATTTTTCATTTTATAAACGTTAAATGAATATATTAATGTATAATAATATTTCAAAACTAATTTCAAAATTAGTGAAATTATTTAAATGTAATATCAAAAAGGAAGATCTTGTAAAAAAAAAAATTAAAACAGATTTGTTAGAATTTTTAAATAAATGTATTTATTATATTAAAAGAAAAATTATGATTCATTTCATGTGTGATTTTTTTAATTATATTCTTTAATATTAAAGCAAAAACAAGAGTATTGCGTCAGAGAAACCAACTAGCCAGTTCTGTTGCCTACTCTTCAATTGGAAACTCTTTGTTTCTGGCAACGAAGACGCAGATATCTGAGATTGTCCATTACCAGTAGCCAGATATTCAGTTATGTTCCCTTTCTAAGCTTAAAGGCAAAACCACCTTTTTGAACAAGAGAAATAAAGAAAAATCTATTATATTAAAAGAGAAGTCATGACTCACTTCATGTGTGATTTTTTATTTTGGACTATTCTTAAAAAATTTATAAATTTTACATAATATCCTTATAATATTTTTTCATATCTTTAATTTTTCTTTGAAATAAAAATAAATAATTTTAAGAAAATTCTAACAAAATATTTTCAAAATCTTTTAGAATATAGTTTCAAAAATTATTTGATTAAAATTTTAATTATCATAAATATAATTAACATTTTAATTCAGTTTTTATTTATAAACAAAAAATTAAAATTTAACAAAATACTTTTAATAATATCCCAAAATTGTTTATGTATTATGTAGGTCCTACTTAATTTACTTTCTACATATACTAGATCATTTTTTTCCGCGCTATGCGCGGATTACATATTTTGAAAATTATAAATTTTTACATGTTTATAAGTTGTTGCATTTGACATAACATCTTTTTTAAAAGTTAAATAGTCAGTGTGCAATTATTGTGTTGTTTGTATACTGGCTTAAATAAAATATCAAAATTGTATTATAAAATAAGTGTATAAGGAAAAAAAATTAATAACATTGTTGTAAACTTAAATCATGAATTCAAAATATTATTATTGAGTGTTGGTTTAAGACTGAAACCATTTTGAATATGTCTGATAGTGCAATATTGAATTGAGTAAAACAAAATTTGATAATACATAGCATAAATTATTGTAAAAATGTAATATTATATTTCATGAATATATTTTTTTATTCTGTTATATTGTTTTCATTTTATTCTTTTTATCATTTACTATGTTTCTTTTAGAATGTTAAAAAAAAAAATATTTTAGAAGTTATTCACACAACAAATGTATTATTAATTATATGAATTTATATGTTTAGTTATGTTGAATTAATATGACATATACATAATATTGTACCTCAAAGTTATGTTTTAGAAATGTGCAGTCATCATTTTTTTTTTCTAAAGGTATCTCTCAGTATGATAATTGTGAAATCAATGTTACTTTAATACTCTACTAGACCATGACCCGCCCGACCGGGCGGGTGTTTTATTTTCTTTTAATTTTTAGGTTTATACTAAATGATGTAAAATAAAAATGAATTATCAATTAAATGGTTACAAATTACTGATGGGTTTAATTTTGATAGAAGAATACCAAAAATTTTGCTGTTTGATCCGCGCAAGTGTTTGTTTTTATATATTTTATAAGTGATAATATATATTTCTAAATTTACCCGTTTAAAATGACATTTTAAACACACAATTTTATAGTTTATATTGAGTAATTTTATTTTATCTTATAAACTATCATTGTGTCATACTTATTTTAAAAATATGACCCGTATATCTGCACAAATGTTTTTATTTTATTTTTATGGATCAAAATTTTATCATAATGTATAACTAAATTGTTTAATTTACTATTTAAAATATATGGTCCTATATATTTCTACTTTTTAACTTTTATTATTCTGAATTTACCTTGAACTATTATTTATATAAAAATATACATAACATGATAGGTTTATATTAATCTTTTTATTATATATTATATAAATGTTTCTTTTTGTTACTTTTATTTTAGTTATTACTTATAAATAATAAAAATATAATTATATATCTTTGAAAAAAATATTTTTCATTAACTATTTAAAGATATGTAGATAATTAATAAGAAAAAAATCCTAAAAGGTAGGTTAATTAATATTGGAATTACTTATTATGTATATGGAATTAGTAAAAAAATTTCTATATAATTTATTTATTTAATTACGAAAAGTGTATATGAAAATAATTATTTTCATTAATTATTGTTGCCATAATTTTTTTTAGTTAAAATTTGATTTTGGAAATGCATTAATTAAAGTGAAAAGACAAAGAATCCTATAAAGTAGGGTAATAAATAACTTCAGTGGCATAACATTGTAAATAATTAAAAAAACTCAGGGGTATTTTATATGGGTACTTCTCTTTTAATAATATAGATAGTTGATCAGAGACCATATCTTTAAACATATAAGTGAATGGTTATTGAAAATGATAAAACTTAATTTTTTGTTTAGATGCTAAATGTAATAATATAATTTATATTGCTTAATGATGTCTCCAATAATACAAATTTTCAATCAAATTCTCTTTGTAACTAAACAAAACTAAATAAAAAGTGTGAAAATCCATAAAAATAAAATAACACAACATTATTAAGAGCATTTTCCACCTTGACACGGAATTTGGTGTTAAACTTTATTTTTCATCTCCAACTGTCACACTAAACTTTACACCAAAACATTTTTTTATATTTATTAACTTTTTAATTTTGGTAATTTATTAAATTAATTATTTGTAACTGATTTATTATATTTAATTATTAAAATTTTGTAATTTTATATTTATTTATATATATATATTATTTTTGTAGTAAATTTATATATATATATATATATATTTATTTATTTTAATATTATTCGATATGAAAATTTTTTACTTTTTGAAAAGAAAAACATTTTATTCTGTTAAGGTTTAATGTTATTGGTAATATTCATTTAGTTATATGATTAATTAAAAATATAAGTACAATAATAGTTTAGTAATTTAGTAATGTAAAAATACAAACAAAATATAAGGTATAACTATAATTTAAAAATAATATATCTATAACCAAACAAAAATTAATAAAATACATTATTTTAATATTTGATATGATAAATAATATTACACAATATTGGTATAACATTGTTCACACTATATCAAGTTTTGTGAAATAATAGCATTTTGTTATGCTTCTAGAGATAAATGTTATTATAATTGTTGTCCCATAATAGCATTTTGTTTTGTGAAATTGTTATTGTCATGCTTAGTGTTTAACAGTCCATTTATGTTCATTACGTGTTGCATTTGTACATATTTCATACGTAGAGGGCTGGGGAACATAATTAAAAGTTCTGGGGCAAATCTAGGGACTTTTCTGCACAATATAAAAGTTTTGGGGCCGAAATAAAAAGGGCCCAAAACACAGGGGCCAATCCTGTAATTTCTCAAAAGATCAGCCATTGTTGTACGTGAGTTGCAGAGCGTTCATGGTGGAGAAGATGTGCCCCAAACCAAAGTCTCATGTCCCAAAAAGTACGAATCGACCAAGCCCATGGAGATCTGCACGCTCGATTTATGGTCCTCGGCGCCGAACTTCCTACTACCTTCGAAGCTCGTGAAACACTCGATCTGAAGAAAATGAATCGCTCGCTTCATTTTCCTCGAGCCAAACTCAACCCAAACGATCCGTGAGGCACAAATAAGACCGCTCTGTTCTATGAGAATTCTTCTCGACTCAACATTCTCAAACTGTGGCTGTTTCAATGGTGAAAACGAACTCGTGTAGCGGTGGAGACGGCATGAGTGTGGTGGTTCTGACGAAAGGAGAAGTTGGAGCGATGATCGTAAAAGCGAAGAGATGGAGACAAAAGTTCGTGCGTGACGTGGCAAAAACAACATTCCTATTGGCTGATTATTTAGTCATACATGGACAGTCTCATTACTTTAGAATAAGAACTTTTAATAGTGTATGATTTCAAATTTAGAAATAAAAAATATATTAAGACTTAGCTACTTGTCTGAAAGCAGAAAGAGTATAGGTCTCAACGAGCATTCGGTAAAGCTAGAAAGCAACCAAAAGAGGCACATCAAAAGGTCTGATTAAGCAATCAAAAGGTCTGATTAAGCAAACTAGGGATGTATTGGAAGTCTGCTATGGTAAAAGGACCAGAGGTTACTTTTATCATTACACAAATATTAATAAATTTACATTCTTTTACAAAAGTATTTTTAAAGATATAATTTTAAAATCATTCAATCAATTATTACAAAAACAGTAAAATTTTATTGGTTGAATAGTTTTCAATAAATTTAAAAGTAACTGCACGGTCGAGATCTAGTATCTATATTACTTCCTAATCTCATTGAATCAAAGGAGATTTCGCACTTCATTACAAGACCTTAAGAATGATATACCTATGCTGTCCCATTCTTGCTGCAATTCTGAAACTTCATGAAAACCATCCCAATTCTCATACACAATCTCTTGCTCATGTTTCGATATGAGAAACGCCGGGAACCTTAAACTCCATTGATTAATCTCACAAGCGGACAGTTGAATCACAAGAAAACGGTACACAAAAGTAAACACTAAGCGAAAGTAGAACGCTAATATCAGTGTCAAAAGTCTGATTACGTGCTAGACAAGGCACCATCTGTCGCGAGTCGGAGTCGGAGTCGTAGTAGGCATGATAAGGGAAGCTGTCTGGAGATAGCGAAAGAAGTGCCTCGGAAGATAGAGAAGTTCCGACCTTCTTCTCCATTGAAACCCAAGAGTTCTTCAACATGTGTGAGGGAACTTAAAGGAAGAGAGGAGGGTTAGGTTTTGTCGGCAGAACGAGTCTTTTTTCTTGTTTATGAATAAAAAAAGGAAATCAGTGGTGTTTGCCATATAACAAAACAAAAAAAAAGGAAAAAAGAAAATCGAGGGTTGGCTCTATAAATAATAGATTTGGGAGTGGAATTAAGAAGATGATGGCGTCGATGGAGATTTATGAGAAGAGAATCGTCAGAGAAACCAAACGTAGAAGAAAAGGAAGAAGAGAGTGGAAGATTGAGATCCCCAATGATGTGATGGAAGAGATCGTGATGAAGCTTCCGGTGAGATCGATTGCGAGGTTCGAAGCGGTTTCAAAGCATTGGGAATCCATGATTAAGACAAGAGATTTTTGGGCAAGACACATGGCTCATCAGAAGAAAAACAAAGATCCTAAACTCATGTTTGTCTCTTTTGGTTATAAACAAATCCATTTTGAGCAAAGGGACTTGGAGACGACTTGTCTTGAAGAGAGCCCCTGTTTTGAAATCGAAGAGGTTAAGGGTCCTCTCGAGATCTCCGAATGCTGCGATGGCCTTGTCTGCTTCTACTGCTTGACTCAAGCAGTGACAGTGGTAAATACGGCCACAGAAACAGCCTTGTCACCACTCCCCTTAGCAAATTTTCAGCGTCTTCATAAAGAGCATCCAGACCCGGATCTGTTGGACCGGTATGTGATGGTGGATATGATGGACGAAGATGATGGTGATGCTCCACTTCCATTCATATCATTTACTATGTTTGGATTTGGGAAAGACAAGGTCACAGGACGATATAAGATAGTGTGGCTATATAATATATACCCTGCTACCTTGAACAAGAAGAAGAAGACAAGATGCGAGGTTTTCGATTTAGAGGAATGGAGATGGAGATTCGTGACTACCAGACCTCTTGATCATCACCAAATCTTGTCTAATCAGAGGCCACCGTGTGCAAACGGATTATTATACTGGCTCACGGGAGATGAACAAGGATACCCATCAACACAAACCAAACTCATAGTTTTCGATATTCATACAGAGATGTTTCATATCACCTCAACACCACCTTTTATTTCCCCTGATGCCTCTAGTGACAAAATTGGTTTATGCAATCTTGACGGTCGTCTGTGCATCTCTGAACTCAAGGGAGATTGTAAGCAAGAGTTTTGGTGGAGGGTTGAAGAATGCGACAAGTGGGAGAGGATCTTCTCAGTTGACTTGAATTCTACTTCCTCTTGGTTTGGTGGTATCACTTCACAGCCTCTTACACCTTTGGCTATTTCCAGGGATAACAACAAGGTCGTCCTCTCCCTTACCCATCAAAAAAACCTTGTTGACTTTGATCTTGATCCTGACTCAACTGTTTATCATTTGTATTATTCTGGTTACTATGGCTTAGCTGTTCCTTATTTTCCAAGTTTAGTACTTGTTCATGGAACTTTCTAGCTCTCTCTTGTTAATTCTTTCTGAAACTATTTGTCTTCTTAAGTAAAAAAAATGTGTCTTTTATATTCAGTGAGCACTTCTTTCTTATATGTTTTGATGATTATTTATCATCAAGTTATGGCAGTGTTTAATAGAAAATTAGACCGGATTCTTGCCGGTTTGATTCGGTTTAATATTATGGTTAATCGATATTTCAAAACATTTGGAATTAAATTAGAAAACCGGAAATATATACTGGGCCTTTTCAAGAGGCCCATTTCTAATAAGAATCTAATAAGAATAGACTAGAGACACCATCGTAAACCCTAGAGTATCTCCTCCCTCCCACACTGTAAACAACTGAATCTAAAAACTCATTTCCCCTTTCAAAAACCAAATCAAATCTCGAGATCTCTCTCTTCTCCACAATGGCAGCAGTAGCAGCACCCATGGCATCTCGCCCCCGCGCATCCAAGTCCGAATCCTTCGTCGACAACAAACGCAAAGAAGACATCCGCTCCGCCAACATCAACGCCGGCCGCGCCGTCGCCGACGCCGTCCGCACGAGCCTCGGCCCCAAGGGTATGGACAAGATGATCTCCACCGCGAGCGGCGAGGTCATCATCACCAACGACGGAGCCACGATCCTCAACAAGATGGACGTTCTCCAGCCCGCCGCGAAGATGATGGTCGAGCTCTCCAAATCTCAAGACTCCGCCGCCGGAGACGGGACCACGACCGTCGTCGTACTCGCCGGAGCCTTGCTTAGGGTTTGCCAAGTCTTATTAGGCGCCGGGATCCACCCTACAGTGATCTCCGACGCGCTTCACAAGTCGTGTGGGAAGTCTGTTGATATCTTAACCGCCATGGCGGTCCCCGTGGAGCTAACGGATCGAGATTCGTTGGTTAAATCGGCCAGCACGTCGTTGAACAGTAAGGTTGTTAGTCAGTACTCTACGTTGCTCGCTCCGTTGGCGGTTGATGCGGTTTTGTCTGTTATTGATCCGGAGAAGCCGGAGATTGTTGATTTGCGTGATATCAAGATTGTTAAGAAGCTTGGTGGGACTGTTGACGATACTCATACGGTTAAAGGTTTGGTGTTTGATAAGAAGGTGAGTCATGCTGCTGGTGGGCCCACGAGGATGGAGAATGCGAAGATCGCTGTGATTCAGTTCCAGATCTCGCCTCCCAAGACTGATATTGAGCAGAGTATTGTGGTTTCTGATTATACTCAGATGGATAGGATCTTGAAGGAGGAGAGGAACTATATCTTGGGGATGATTAAGAAGATTAAGGCGACTGGTTGTAATGTGTTGCTGATTCAGAAGAGTATTTTGAGGGATGCTGTGACTGATTTGTCTCTTCATTACTTGGCTAAGGCGAAGATTATGGTGATTAAGGATGTGGAGAGGGATGAGATTGAGTTCGTGACGAAGACGTTGAACTGCTTGCCGATTGCTAACATTGAGCATTTTAGGGCGGAGAAGCTTGGTTTTGCTGAGCTTGTTGAGGAAGCGTCGCTTGGAGATGGGAAGATTTTGAAGATCACTGGGATTAAGGACATGGGGAGAACTACATCTGTTCTTGTCCGTGGGTCTAACCAGCTTGTTCTTGATGAAGCTGAGAGGAGTCTGCACGATGCTTTATGTGTTGTTAGGTGTCTGGTGAGCAAGAGGTTTTTGATTGCAGGAGGTGGTGCGCCGGAGATTGAGCTTTCGAGGCAGCTAGGTGCTTGGGCTAAGGTGCTCCATGGGATGGAAGGTTACTGTGTGAAGTCTTTCGCAGAAGCTTTGGAGGTTATTCCTTACACGTTGGCTGAGAATGCGGGTTTGAATCCTATTGCGATTGTGACTGAGCTCAGGAACAAGCATGCTCAAGGGGAGATCAACTCTGGGATCAATGTAAGGAAAGGGCAGATTACTAATATCTTGGAGGAGAATGTTGTGCAGCCTCTGCTTGTGAGCACCAGCGCGATCACTCTTGCAACTGAATGCGTCAGGATGATTTTGAAGATCGATGACATCGTTACCGTGAGGTAGTGTGGTACTTTCACTCAAAACGGTCCTTAGTAGTACACTTTCTCTTGCTCTATCTATCTAAGCGTTGTTTCTTTTTTCGTTTTGGTGTGTGTTTTTTGCAATGATTGAACTTTAGACCCTCTATGGTTTCACCATGTGCTCTTGGAGCTAAGTGGTCTTCTTTGTGTTTTAGTGCTACTTTATTTCTTTCTAGTGACTTAATATCATGGTTTCTCTTTTTGTTTCATATGTTGGATCTTTTGTTGGTAGAAGTAGAATCAGAACTTCAATTACTGCCTAATACATTACACATGTGCATGAACATTAGTCTCTTGAGCTCATTGATTCAGTTAGATCTTCTTTTCATTTGTTATTAATTACATCCCAGTTTGATTATAACTCATAAGTAAACGATTAGAATCTAATCATTAGAGTATCCATTGTATTAGGCCTGTGTTCTGGCCAAGATCATGTGTGTATGTACGGAGAATTTGCGTTGTCTTTGTTACACCAATGTTAAGGCTAAACTGACTTATTATATAATAGATAACTGTATAACCTTAAGGTCTAACTTTAGAATCTAAACCCAAAATACCGAAGGATCAACATTGATACATAGAATCCGTGTTGATCTGCAAACAAACTTTAGAAAGCTCAATCAAATCGGTACCAATGAATAAATTGTGGGTTGATCTATAAACATCACTATAGAATCGGCCCAAATTTAAGAAAAAAAAAACATCACTATAGAAAGCTCAATCAAATTGGTACGATCATAGAAGACTGTAATAATTAGGGCTGGGCATTTATCGTTATATTCGATTCGTTATTCGTTTCGATGCGATCCGAAAATTCCAGATATCTGTAAACTTTCGAATCAAAGCAAATACTAAAATTCATTATCCGTTAAAATCAAAGTAAATCATAAATATTAAAATTTTGGGAAGCGGATATCCGATCCGATCCGAAAATATATAAATATATGTATATCTTGATTATATTTAAAAATTTAAATGTATAAAATTATATAATTATTATTCTAGCACATAATTTTGAAAAATTCTATTCACATTATTACATAAAAAGAGAGAAACAATTTATGACAATTATATTTTTTTCTTAAATTTTGTGTTATTATAATTGTAACTTAAACTTAAAAATTACAAATATGTAAATTCACTAGCTCTTTTAATTTTTATTTTATATATCATGCAAAAAAAATATTTTTGCAAAGCAAATTTGTATCAAAAGTTTAAGAATATTTGTATTAATTAAAAAGGATGAGATATCCGAAAATATTCGTAAATATTCGTAAATATCCGCAAATATCTATTTATTTTCCGGATATCCGTTTTTCTGGATATCCGTGTTTTTCCGAAGCAAAGCAAATACCAAAATTAGATATCCGTAACATTCGAAGCAAATCACAATACCTTAAAAAATCCGGATATCCGATCCGTGCCCACCCCTAGTAATAATAAGAAAACACAGATTTATATATATATATATAGAGAGAGATATATTCACCCATGTTCGGGAACGCACTAGGCACTAGTCGGACGGCATGATTGGGCCTAGCGGCATGATTGGGCCTAGAGCCTAGAGAGAAAATCGAAGATTATGCAAGAATTATACGGGGCGAAATTTTTAGACTATTTAATATGTTATGAAATATGTTAATTTTTAATTGTGTATAACATTAATACATTTTCATGTTTAGAATCTTATAAAAGACAAATAGACTATATAAAATTAATATGATATAATTTTCATCAAAATTATACTTACTAAATTTTGGATCAAATAAATAGATAAAAAATATTATTGCAAACAAAAAAAATAAAAAATATATTTGGCGGCCGCCTAAGCAGTCATTTGGACGGTCTAGATAGACTAAAATCAGACGACTGATTTTTTACATCGATTTGGTATAAATCGGGGCGGAGACTGATTTTTTACATCGATTTGGTATAAATCGGGGCGGAACAAGGTCGCCTAGCGCCTACGATGAATTATTGATAGTATATTCTTACTATTAATATGGGTGAGTGCCAAACAAGGAAACTCATGTTTGAGTTTTTGCCATATTTGAAATAATATATTTTTAATTAAATAAAATTTCCCTCCTTTTTGCATTTTCAGCTGCATTCTACCCCCAACTATGTTCGTTTCAACCACTCAGAGACAGCGATGGCGCAGCGATCACTCTCTCTCAAACTCACTTATCTCTTCTCAGCTCTCTCTCTCTCTTTCTCGATCTCGACTTTGATTATTCTTCCAAGTTTATAAGGTGAAATCAAAAGTTTTTTTTTTTGTTTTTTCTTGGAATTAGATTTTTCTCCAAACTGAAATCAGAAGTTTCTCTCTCCAAACAATTTTCACCAAAGCTGTTTTTCAAACCGCTAAATCTCGATACGTTATGGCTAATAAAAGGAGGAGGAGGTTATCTCGTCGAATGGCTGAAGCAAGTAGTAGTAATGTAACTGGTGCATCCTCTGCTGCTCTTGTCCCGTCGTCTCCATCGGGTCTTGTGATTCGAAATCTTGAAAACGAATCTCCTACAAAGCTTAAGATATGGAGTTCGTATCTGCTAGATAATGAGTTTAATGTTCCACATAAAGTTCGTCCCAAAGCCATTCAAACATAGATGAGGCTTATCGATGATCATCAACAACACAAATGGAGCTTCCTTCTCGGAAGGAACATCTTCGAAGATGTTCGGTAAAGCCAGGACCGGCCCAAAAAGAAAAATACCCAAACCATCGATTAGAATATCCAAATTAACAAGACATATTTCTAAAAATTTTAATTAATATTTATAAATACGAAGAATTTTTTAGATAAATATTATTTATTGAGAATTATCAGCTAGTGAACAAAATAAAATACTCTTTGATATCAGTGTAACTAATGCTTCTTTAATTTGTTTGGTTAATTCTTAATCTGGGTAACATATTTATTAATAAAAAATATATAAACAACACTAATATTTTTATGAATAATATTATTATTATCAAATAAATATAAATTATGCTTACATATAACTTTATAAAATCCTACAAAACACAAGTAAAAATTAATAAAAATATTAGTTAAACTAAGAAAAACATAAGTAAGAATTAATAAAATATAAGTAAAAATTATATAGAATTTAAGAAAATTATTATGTTTAAATGTGAGATTTTGTATACAATTAATTGTAATAAATTATGATTGATTATGATCAAAATATTGGTGATAATGTTAACAAATATTGCTATACAACTAATTTTATATAATTATCTTTAATAATTATTAATGTAGTTGAACTAGTGAAAACATAATGTAATCTTTTACATTATATGTATTGTATGTCATGCTTTAGTGAGATGTCCTTTTATCAGTAGATGTCTAAGGTGTACTAGAATCTCATATGAATTAGAAAGTTAATATGAATATGTACTAATAACTTTACATTTCCGACATAATATGATATTATGAATATCTATATAATTGATTATTTTTAATTATATTGTGTTTGTTTTCCCATTACTATGTTGATTCTTCGTTTCTATCAACATAAAACATAATTAAACAAAAAAAAATCAACATGAAACATAATTGAGAGTAAATATATAAAGATATTATAAAAGTATATTTCTTGGGGGGGGGATTTAGCTTGGGGGTGAAATGTGTGTAATTGCAGAAGAGAGAATGCTTTCAAGGAAGGCAGATGTCTACAGCTTTGAAGTCATTCTGTTGGAGCTATAAGTGCTAAGAAAGCATACCACGACAAAGACGTATCCTATGACCACATTGCCATCTAGTTGAGAAGAAAGACTCCTCCTGGAAGTCTATTGAAGAAGACATTGACAAAGACCATGAGACACAAGAGAGCGTCAAGGAGGTAGCTGAACCAGCAGGTTCATGTTGTGCGACGGAAGCAAAGAAGAGACCAGAGATGTCCCAGATTGTCAGGGATCTTTCATATCTGATTGAAACCAGAGATAAAAGGAACCAGAAAAGCAGCAGCGGATCTTGAATTCACCCTTCAGATGTATAGTTTTATTTTTTGATATCTTGTCTTTTGCCAAACAAATACATGCACGTTTAGTAAGTAATTAGTAGAATCTGTGTGTTAATTTCAGTATTGTATCCCCAAAAAATCTATCTCCTTACAGAATTTTTAAAACAGACTTTGTAATCGATTAAATGAAGGATTGGAACCAGGCAGTATATGATGATACACAAATTTGAGTTCTTTTTTGGTAATTTCTAGGTTGAATCCTTTAATCAAAAGTGCACGGAACATCAGCTGCTCAAACTGGAACACCCACTGTGTTCAACATCACAAAATCTTATTCCTCCTCTTACCACTGCTCCAACTCGTTATACAAATGACAACACGAAGCATAGGACTGAACGAAAGGTCATACCGATAGAGCCGAGGAATAGAGGGATTTGGTAGATCTAAGACCCTAGAGGAGGAGGAGGAGAGCCATAGATATTTATACAACTCTAAGACATGCTTCTAAAACTAGAGATCCTAGCCAAAACATTTAAGCTTTACATATAAATTATAATAAAATCATGTTTACATATAAAATTTAATAAAATCCTATAAAATATAAGTAAAATTAATAAAAAATTAATGAAACTAATAAAACATAAGTAAAATTTAAATAAACTATTATTATTTAAATGTGAGATTTTGTATTAATAATTGGTTGTAATAAATTATGATTGATTAAGATCAAAATATTGGTAGTTGAACTTGTGAAAAAATAACGTTATATTTTATAATATATATATAGGATTATTAGGAAAAAAAGTAAAAATATATTGTTAAAATTTGTTTAGGGCGCATCTAAACATGTTAGACATGCACTCGGTAAAATTACACAAGCTCATTGTGCTGTGCAAGAAGGATTTATCGATCAAACAGAACCAAATCTCAGATGGTTCGATATTAGCCCAATGAAAAAATAACCGGCTTGATTATCGGGTTTACAGGCATAGATGATATTATATTGGTTTTAGCCGGTTTAATAACACCCGTACTTTTGAAATAAATAATAATTTCTAAAATCTCTATTTATTCTTCTCAAAAATCAATATCCTCGCCATAAAGCCAATAAATAAAATAAAACCTAATTAATATCGATAAAACATAAAATTGAAAAATCTGGAAAAATAAATAAATAAACGCTCAAAACCACCAGTCCGATAGCAATCACTCTTGCTCGCCAGTCTCAATTCAGATATAAGAGCATCCGCAACAGGAATCTTTAGAGGGGAGTCTTTAGGAAAAAAATAATTAAATCATCGGTAGACCTCATAAAAAGTTAATGATTCCATCCTTAAAATCCCTAAATAAGGACTGTTTCTAAGCGAGTCCTTACACTATTTGCGAATCCCCAGGACACGTGGCAACCCGCGAATGGTCATCTTTTTTTTCTTTTAGAAAAAAGAAGAATCCAAAATATCCTTAACATATCCAAAATACCATTTTTCTTAAGAATTCCTATGAGTCTCACGGTTGTAGATGCTCTAAAAACAATTGGTACCCCAGGTTGATTTCAATCCGGTCTAATTAGATTTGGTTTGATTTTTTCCTGCTAAGACAGCTTATTTGTTTAGGTGGTCACGAAAATGAGACTTCAAATACGCATCTTTAGAACCGTTTTGTAGCCGTTGGATTTGAACTACTCAATACAAACATGAGTTTCTACAAACATCAACTCATGAATTTTTCATTGGGTTGAAATAAAGCACCAACTTTCAAATTTGTCATTTAAATTACCAACTTTTAAATTTGGTTGAAATAAAACATCAACTTTCTCATAAGCAAAAAAAACACTCAACTTTTATTGACAAGTCATTTTAATCACAAATTTTCATCGACCATACTAATTTGATCATATCGTTAGTCAACAGTTATAGTTGACTATCAGTAGGCTTAAAATGGCTTTCAAAGTTGATGTTTTTTTTGACACAAATTTAAATCAATATCTTTTTTTAAATATTGTATATATTTTAAATATTGAAAATTTTATAACTGAAGCACTAATAAAAAAAATTATAAATAAAATAAATCCAATAAAAATATAAATAAAACTCAATGTAAAATAATTACTTAACATACATTAGTTGAGTATCTTAGTTATAAAATGATAAGAATATTTTAATTGTTTAGGAATAAACTTTTTAAATATTTATATAATCCTATTTGAATTATGTTTTATAATTTTATTTTCAAAAGTTTGTTGATGAAATATTAATTCAACTTTTGATTCTTAATTGAAAAGAGTTATATGTTAACGAATTATTCAAAATTCTTTATATTTATGTAAAGATCTTCAAACAAATCTATATAGTTTCTATAAAAATTTTACAAGAGGTTTTCTGCATTTAAAGAAAAATAATTTTCACCAACATCGATAATTATTTTAGTTATCCGATAACTCATTTTGTTTAAAAAACAAGAATGAAGTAATATTTTACTAACAAATTTTTGACAGCAAAATTATAAAAGATAATCCGAGTAGGATTATAGAAATATTTCTTAAAAATTAATCATAAATAATTTTAAAAAAATTTCAAAATCATTTTTAACTAAAATACTCAATTAAGAATATGTTAATTAATTATTTTACATTGAGTTTTGTTTATATTTTTGGTTGGAATTTATTTTTTATTTACAATTTTATTTATTAGTGTTATAGTTATTAAAAGTTTCAAGATTTAAAATCTAATATTTTGAAAAAATGTTGATTTATATTTGTGTCAAAAAAAACATCAACTTTAAAAGCCATTTTAGGCATACCGTTAGTCAACTATAACTGTTGACTAACGATATAACTAAATTGGTAGGGTTGACAAAAGTTTGTGATTAAAATTGCTTGTCAACAAAAAATTGGGTGTTTTTTTTGCTTATGAGAAAGTTGATGCTTTATTTAACCAAATTTGAAAGTTTGTGATTTAAATGACAATTTTCTCATTTTCGAATAGTATAATAGTTTTAGAAAGACAAATATATTATATTTATAGTACTATCGTTTCTCCAGACAACAATATAGACTACACTACTAGATATTTTGTCCACATATATAGATATAATAATTTTTAAATATTTTAAAATAAATATAATATCAATTAAAATAAAATTAAAATAACTTAATATTTATACATTCTATAGTTAATAAAAATAAACAAAAATCTCTTTATATATACAAAATCAGAACATGATGAAAACATAAACAAAAATATAGAAAGAAAGATACAAAAACATGTTACATTTTTATATACTTGATATGATGGAAAAAAATTATGTTGAAAACATACTTATGTTTGTATAATACATAGAAACATATATGTAATTATAATATATATACCATTATTGAAGTAAAAACTATTTATTTATGTAAAAACAAAATTAACACCCGCGCGGTTGCGCAGATCCAAATCTAGTTATATTTATAGTACTATCGTTTCTCCAGACAACAATATAGACTACACTACTAGATATTTTGTCCACATATATAGATATAATAATTTTTAAATATTTTAAAATAAATATAATATCAGTTAAAATAAAATTAAAATAACTTAATATTTATACATTCTATAGTTAATAAAAATAAACAAAAATCTCTTTATATATACAAAATCAGAACATAAATATTTTTTATCACGTAACATAAATTTAAAAGCACTAATACTTTTGAAATATTTAGTAATAAATTAAATATTAAGTTATTTTACATATGATAAGTTTTGTCAACATAATAAGATTATCTTTTATTGTGTAAAATAAATTTAAAAAACATTAATATATACATTAACATTATATACAATATATAAGGATTTATTTTTTTATAATTTAAAATCTTTTTTAAAAAATCTAGTGTAAAATATTTTTTGAACAACAGAATTCAGATCTTTTTCTCTCGTCCTTTATTCAAGGGCAACGCGCAAGATATACCAAATACTTTTTTCTATTCAACAGAGACTACAAAGGTAATCGACACTGGCTCAAATAGCACAATCCATGATTTGTGGCTCTAGTCATCACTCAGTAGTCAGTAGTAACGAGCAGCAACACCAAATAAAACTAGAGAACACTAATTCTTTAAAAGGTTCATTATACTAAAAAAACCATCAGATGGTAGATGTGAAGATGAAACTAGATTTCATGTACATAGTTATCAAAAAGTCAAGAAAAGATAAAACCGCAAGCCATTTACCTCACAAATGATTTCTACACAGGCTCAAGTTTTAAGTCTAACAAGGCTTGATCCCAAATTCTAAAGTCATCCAATATAAAGTTATTGCTTAGTAGCTGTTTCTTCAAGCCTGGGGAGGACGCACTGCTTTAACATATTTCTGCAATAGCAATGAAGAGCATATAAATTATCTACCACACGAGAAACAGCTACATGCTTGATCAATCAAATGGTTTTACCTTTCTTATAGCATCAAACGTCCTCGCTTTCTCCTCTTTCTTTTCACTGGAGCACTCTCCGCACCAGCTGGAGAAGTCCTTCTGAAGTTTTTTAAGCTCTCTAAACGCAGAGCTGCGTGGAACAACAAGAAGGAATGATAAGAAACTGGAAAACAAATGAATTTCAATTGCATTCTAAACAATCTCTATGTCAGTCCACTCAAGATACAAGTTTTTCAATTGGTATATATATACCTTCTGCACCATAGAAGCATATTGACCCTGTGTCCGGATGTTGTGGCTCTTGCACCATGGCGGTGGCGGCCACGGTGAAGTACAGCTTGCCCCGGCACATGACAATAATCAAATATCTCCTGCTTTCGTAAGAATACAGTTGTTTCAATTAGCCATCAGACAGATATAAAATTTTATACGAGAAGAAAGCAAGTAGCATACATCTGACTTTGTAGCTGTGTTAACATGTTTCTCACACCGTGTGCCTCGGAAAAACAACTCCCCTCCCACAAATTGGTTACCCAAACAAACGTTCAGAGTTACTTCTGAATCATCCACATGAAAGCCTGCAAATTTATATAAGAACTGCTTATATCCAACTAGAATATAAAACAAACTAGTAAGGATATTTGAAACTTCTGCAGGATGTGTCTCACCTAAATCAACATCCCTATCTTTACTATACTCAACAACAAACCCATGGTGAGAGTCTAGACTTGCTCCACCAACATCATTGAAGAATACTACAAAACAAAAGATAGCAAGTAGCTTTTGTTAGCAGTGACTCACAACAGAGTAACATAACTTAGTCTATGGAATGGAATTCAACTATATATTGCCTTTGGAAATGGGACGTATGAAAGTCTCCATGAGTTTGTCAAGCATGGTATCAAGCCCAAAGTCGTCAAGCACAGCACCGTATTTATTCATGGTGTTTGGCCTCATGATCTTGAATTTTGTCTCAGCCACCCACTTCTCAAAATTGTCTATCTACATAGCCAAACAGTAGTAGTACATTAACAAACTAGCATAAAAAGGGTAAAGAGAATTCTGACAAAAACAGAAGGAAGCATTGCAGATTACCTCTTCAAGCATCATCTCGCAGAAGCTAGGTAGGAGCATGTCAAAAACAAAAACACCAGGAGACGCTTCAGAGATGATGCTTCTGAAGCTATCCTCTGTGTTATCATTAACCGCATTTAGGAAAGAAGGAACGAAACATAGTATGGGAACCAGATTATAAAGCTCCCTGTGAAGTGGCTGCAGGAGAAAGAAACCAAAAAACAACACTTCAAAACTACTTCCGCCAGATATAAAACACCGTAAAGCACAAAGAAAAGGGATTCACACCTGATAGTTTGAAACTATCTTATTCCTATAGTCATTGTGCCTCTGAGCCTGTACCATCATGGAGAAAATAAAAAAAGGAACACACTTTAAACTAAATCTCTGAGAAACCAACACACTAATCATCATAAAAGCCAAGTGGGTCAGCTCTAAAGCAATACCCATCTCAAAATTCAGACAAAAAAAAAGGTCAAAGCTTTGAACTTTATACCCTAGAACGCTCTCCGTTAGGAAGATGACTATGCATAATGTCAGTCATGAATCTCACTTTCTCCTCTCTGTTCGAAACCAACATGTCTGGCGGCAAGTACTTCTCGAGATTCTTATAAACAGGATTAGGGAAATCGAGATGCAGATCCTCGTAATTATCTGGCCTAAGCTCGTTGTTAGGGTTTATCCTCAACCTACGGCACGTCGTAGCGCCCGTAGCTCTCACAATCGCAGAAGAAGCCATCTGGTGAGAATTGGATCCGTTACCGTCTACCGTCGTTGTCGTCTCTTGCTGAACTTCTCGCCTGTCGCTTGACATTACTGTTGGGGATGGATGGAGGTTAAAGTTATAAACTTTTTTTTTTAGCGAAACTACATTCCAAAAGCGAAACCTAGAATCTTTTTATAAAGAGAATCTGATTTTTGACCTTTTTTTTTTTGTTTTAGCTATTTGATCGATCTGTGGATTGGGTGGGTTCCCGTTGAAGTTAGGGTTTTCGCTAGAAGATTTTTTTATTGTTTTTTTGCCTTAACTACGCTCGTAACTTCACTTCCCACGCTTTTAAAAAGCGTAACATGATTGTTAGGCCCATTTACAAGGCCCAAACGGAATGAAATCCTGTCTCTTGATTTTGTAAGAGCATCTCCAATGTATTACTCCATTTTCTACTCTAAAATGGAGTAACTCCAAAATGCAGTTGAGTCTTACTCCAATGTATTACTCCATTTTCTACTCCAAAAGAATATTTTTAATATTATATTTATTTTAAAATTAGGAATATCACCTTTCATTTATACTATTTGCAAAACAGTCCATTTTAAATTTATAGCATTTCTATTAAATACAATATTAACCACAATTAAATTTTTATTATATAAATAAAACTACTCAACAAGGTTTTAAAAGAATACATTTAATACT